AGCTTCCAAAGAAGGAGCCTCCACCACACTCCGGGGCAGAGAGTTCCATTGCTGAATGGCTCTCACAGTCAGGAAGTTCTTCCTCATGTTCAGATGGAATCTCCTTTCTTGTAGTTTGAAGCCATTGTTCCATTGCGTCCTAGTCTCCAGGGAAGCAGAAAACAAGCTTGCTCCCTCCTCTCTATGACTTCCTCTCACATATTTATATATGGCTATCATGTCTCATCTCAGCCTTCTCTTCTTCAGGCTAAACATGCCCAGCTCTTTAAGCCGCTCCTCATAGGGCTTGTTCTTCAGACCCTTGATCATTTTAATTGTCCTCCTCTGGACACATTCCAGCTTATCAACATCTCCCTTCTATTGTGGTGCCCAGAATTACAAAGAAGACAACATATTATTCCAAGCCCACTCCTTTGAATAATCCTAAAAGCCTGTTGGAATAGGATAGTTTTCATTTGTTGATTAAAGGAAAGCTAGGAAGGAGCAGTCCTAGAATATTATCACATGAAGCTGCTATTACATGGCAGTTGTGCTATGATAGGAAGAGGGATGAGCATTTGATCGCACCTCTTTAATCATGCAGTTGTGTTGATTTGCCAGTTCATGGTCCTGCGATTACAGTTTTGTATACCCTCATAACTTCACCTTTCTGCATTTCTGCTGCTCTATAATTTTTGAATACATTTGCAGTTTCAACAATTAATAACAACAAAAATTGGCAAATATAACAGTAATATTTTAAATGAATGTAAAACTGACACCACTTCACTGTTTACATGTCTGTTGGAGTTCAGCCTGTGATTGTGTCTAATGATCAGGGTACTCTGGATGTTGGGAATGACAATGAGGTTCATGTAGGTAATGATGTTTCTAATGATGAGGTGGCTATTGATGCAGAGAATGACAATGGGATTCCTGTTCAAAGTGTCTCTTCTGATGAAAATGTTCCTGAAGAGTTTGGAGATGATGGTGTGGTCCCTGAATTACTACCAGAGAATTCCCATGATTTGGAGCCTGAGAATAGCTCAGCACCTGGGCCAGCTGCAGAAAGTAATGAGCCCGGAGATAGATGGGATATTTTAGTGAGCATAGAAAAACAAACCAATCTCTCAGGTGTTCTGCCAGAGAGACTGATAAGAGAATCAAGGCTGAAACGAAACCCATTTCTGGCCGCTTGGGACATAGAGTAATTAGGGGATAAAAGTGTCAAGTACAGAAACTGTAGTCAGACGAAGCATCGTTTGGGATTGAGTCAAGGCATCTTTCCTGTATCTTGGAAGCCTTGCTTTGGATAGATTCGTGTGTTAAGTGCCTTTGTTTCATGATTCAAGTTTTGGAATTTTACCTTAGAAGTTTATGCCTTTGTTTTTCATGAACTTTGATGGACTAATTTCCTGGACTATTTGTTCTTGCTTACCTTTCTACCTAATTGGATTTACCTATTTTTATGGAGTGCTTTTTGCTGCTACTGCTTTTAAAATATCTTCAATAAACAGTTTGCATTTCTACTCAACTGTGTGATGTTTAAAATCAGAGGGCTTTCCTGGCCTGGAGTGCAACAATGTCCAGGAGCGGCTCAACCCATTACGCAAAGTAAGCATTTGCAGTATGGTTGATTTTGTCCAGGGGCACTCTTGAGGCACTCTTGGAGGAAAATAGACCTTGACATATGCGAGTTATAGTTACTGGGATGTATAGTCCACCTACAATCAAAGAGCATTCTGAACTCCACCAATGATGGAATTGAACCAAATATGGCACACAGAACTCCCACGACAAACAGAAAATATATATCAGTGATTGGTTGGGGGGGGGGGGCATCGGCGTCAAAATACTGTTTGCTTACCATTGAAAATTACCTAGGGCCGCCTCTGACAATGTCAACCCAGAAGTGGAACATAGTGTATAGGATGGGAACATTAATGGATTGTGAATGATTGGAAGATTTTGCATGTCGATAGCAGGGGGACAGGTTAATCAGGAGGAGAAGGTAGATGGCAAGATGATCATGTTATTGTGCAATAGGGAATGTACCCAAAGATGATGGTCTAGCTTCAATGCCAGTTTGCCAGCTTTGTGAAACACACTAGGGAGGGAGTTGCAAAATTTGGCTCAGCAATCCCGAAGGTCTTCTTCTTTGTTCTTACCAAACAAGATTGGGAAGGTGGTGGCACTTAGGGAAGAGCCCTTTCCAAACGATCTTAAGTTTAGACAGGCTCATTTGGAACTAAAAAAATATTAGGAAAACCCCAAAGAATCAGAACTGTTGCATGAGAGAGATGGGATGGAAAAAGAATTAGTGTGTGTTGCTACCTGCCTGATTAAGGAGACAATGTGTTGGAGAGAAATAGATTTGGATGGACTGGAACTGTGCTACAATCATAGCTGCCTTGGTTTTGTCACATGAAGTATGAGCGTTTCAGCTACGAAATCACTTTAATGCAGCATTTCTCAACCTGGGAGTCAGGACCCATGGGGGGTCTTGAGAAGCGTTTCAGAGGGGTCGTCAAAGACGATCAGAAAACATATTTCTGGTGGTCTTAGGAACCCCTTTGGCAGAGAAGGCTGAAGATCTCTCTGCCTGTCTTTCTCTTCCTTTTTGGAGACAGATGGCAAATCCTCCCACCAAAAGCCCTCCTCCTCTGTGATTGGTTCTGCCTCTCATCCAAGGGGAGGGCTGTTTCTGAGACCCCAAGCGGGGAGGGGAGAGCAGGTGTGCTCTCCCCTAAATCACTGTCAACTGTGTGCGAAGTTTGGCCCAATTCTATCATTGGTGGGGTTCAAGGGGCTCTTTGATATTAGGTGAACTATAAATCCCAGCAACTCCAACTCTCAAATATCAAGGTCTATTTTCACTAAACACCAATAGTGTTCACATTTGGGAATATTGAATATTTGTGCCAAGTTTGGTCCAGATCCATCATTGTTTGAGTTTGCAGTGCTCTTTGTATGTAGGTGAATTACAACTCCAAAACTCAAGGTTAATGCCCACCAAACCATGCCAGTATTTTCTGTTGGTCATGGGTGTTCTGTGTGCCAAGATTGGCTCAATTCCATCATTGATGGAGTTCAGAATGCACTTTGATTGTATGTGAACTATAAATCCCAGTAACTCCAACTCCCAAATATCAAGGTCTATTTCCCCCAAACTCCAACAGTGTTCACATTTGGGCATATTGAGTATTCATGCCAACTTTGGTCCAGATCCATTGAGTTTGCAGTGCTCTTTGTATATAGATGAACTACAACACCAAAACCAAGGCTAATGCCCACCAAACCCTTCCAGTATTTTCTGTTGGCCATGAGAGTTCTGTGTACCAAGATTGGTTCAATTCCATCATTGATGGAGTTCAGAATGCACTTTGATTGTACGTGAACTATAAATCCCAGCAACTCCAGCTGCCAAATGTCTGCAGTTCTCTTTGTATGTAGGTTAACTACAACTCCAAAACTCAAGGATAATGCTCAACAAACCCTTCCAGTATTTTCTGTTGCCTGTGAGAGTTCTGTGTGCCAAGATTGGTTCAGTTCCATCACTGATGGAGTTCAGAATGCATTTTGATTCTACGTGAACTATAAATCTCAGCAACTCCAACTCCCAAATGTCAAGGTCTATTTTCCACCAAAATCCAACAGTGTTCACATTTGGGGATATTGAGTATTCATGCCAACTTTGGTCCAGATCCATTATTGTTTGAGTTTGCAGTGCTCTTTGTATGTAGGTGAACTACAACTCCAAAACTCAAGATTAATGCTCACCAAACCCTTCCAGTATTTTCTGTTGGCCATGAGAGTTCTGTGTACCAAGATTGGTTTCTGAGACTCCAAGCAGGGAGGGGAGAGCTCTCCCGTAAATCACTGTCAACTGTGTGCAAAGTTTGGCCCAATTCTATCATTGGTGGGGTTCAAGGGGCTCTTTGATATTAGGTGAACTATAGATCCCAGCAACTCCAACTCCCAATTCCATCACTGATGGAGTTCAGAATGCACTTTGATTGTCGGTGAACTGTAAATCTCAGCAACTACAATCCCAAATGACAAAGTAAATGCCCCCCAACCCCACCAGTATTCAAATGTGGGCGTATCGGATATTTGTGCAAAATTTGGTCCAGGGAATGAAAATACATCCTGCATATCAGATATTTACATTATGATTCATAACAGTAGCAAAATAACAGTTCTGAAGTAGCAACGAAAATAATTCGATGGTTGGGGGTCAACACAACTGTATTAAGGGGTTGCAGCATTAGGAAGGTTTAATGTGATAGACCAAAAACTCACTCCTTGCTTTGTGGTTTCCAGGAAAACACAGTCCATTGCTATATTTTGCTATGGATGTACAATCTAGATCAGGATGGCTTTGGGGGGAAAGGAGTAGGATGAGTTGGATCCTCACCTTTCCTACCAGCTGTGGCAAGTCTTCATTCTGGATCCCACATTCCAAAGCTGGATCTAGCTCCCCTGAACATAGTTTCTCACAGTCGCGTGAAATTGAAAATAATAGGGTTTGCTATTCTCCAGTTTCCCACATCCGTGTGAAGTCCAGGAATGTATCCCACGTTGATATGGGTGTCATACTGTATCTTCACAAAGAAAACTAAGCATGTTTACTTGGATTGTTGTAGGTTTTTTCGGGCTATATGGCCATGGTCTAGAGGCAATGCCTCTAGACCATGGCCATATAGCCCGAAAAAACCTACAACAACCCAGTGATTCCGGCCATGAAAGCCTTCGACAATACATGCTTTACTTCTTTGCTAGAGTCTATACATGGTAGTTGTGTGATGTTCGTCGTTTGCTTGCAAATGCTAATCATTCTTCTTGCAAGACATGCAACTATCTCTCCCCTCCTCGATATCTCCTCCTCCATCTAGTCGGGTGACACATAAAGGAGTTAACCATGCTTGTAACTGCAGTCTCGTGTCTTAGGCAAGAGACGCACATTGTCCCGGTTAATAGTATATGGTGCAAGACAACCTGTCTTTATTTCTTCAATTTAGAGTCTATAAAAAGCAGTGCCATGCCTCTGAGAAACGAAAAAGCCTTCTGCATCGAAGCAAACTGAGGATACCGAAAGATATAACAGAAGAAAAGGAAAAGCCAGGAGAATGGTTGGGATCTGGAACATTGTTCTCACTCTGCCGGTTGGCTTTTTGATTCTGTCCTATGTGAAACTTCTTTGGACTCGTAGCAGGTACCCACCTGGACCTTTCCCACTTCCTCTCCTTGGAAGCCTGTGGTGGGTGGGACTCAGGCTTTCTCCGGACAGTCTTGCAAAGGTATTTCTTTTTCAATTATCCTCGATATCAAATGTTTAATGAAGTATGTCATGTTCTTTCTGATGTGTATCCTCATTAAATTTGAGCTGGAATGTGTCCAGAGGAGAGCGACTAAAATGATAAAGGGTCTGGAGAACAAGCCCTATGAGGAGCGGCTTAAGGAGCTGGGCATGTTTAGCCTGAAGAAGAGAAGGCTGAGAGGGGATATGATAGCCATGTATAAATATGTGAGAGGAAGCCACAGGGAGGAGGGAGCAAGCTTGTTTTGTTCCCTGGAGACTAGGATGCGGAACAATGGCTTCAAACTACAAGAAAGGAGATTCCATCTGAACATGAGGAAGAACTTCCTGATGAGAGCTGTTCAGCAGTGGAACTCTCTGCCCTGGAGTGTGGTGGAGGCTCCTTCTTTGGAGGCTTTTAAACAGAGGCTGGATGGCCATCTGTCAGGGGTGCTTTGAATGCAATATTCCTGCTTCTTGGCAGGGGGTTGGACTGGATGGCCCATGAGGTCTCTTCCAACTCTTTGATTCTATGATTCTATGAGCTGATTTGGAGATCTTGGATCTAAAGTCAAGGAAGGTGGACTTTGGCAAAGAGAAATGAAAAGATAGCAGAAATTATACTTAGTATTGGTGTGCAATTATTATTATTATTATTATTATTATTATTATTATTTGCAAATTCTATACCCCGCCCTTCTCACCCTGAAGGGGACTCAGGGTGGCTACACAAGATGCAATCGGTCATACAAGATGTTTTCTTTTTTGTAGCAATTTGAACTGAAAAAATGGTGTACAATACTTGGTTGTACTTATGTCAAGGGGAAGAAGACATAAGTCTTATTAAATCAGAACACTTGGGATTTCCCAAATCCTGGTTATGAAACACTAGACCAATGTTTCTCAACCTTCCTAATGCCGTGACCCCTTAATACAGTTCCTCATGTTGTGGTGACCCCCAACCATAACATTATTTTCATTGCTGCTTCATAACTGCAATTTTGCTACTGTTAAGAAGCATAATGTAAGCATGTGATATGCAGGATGTATTTTCATTGGCTGGACCAAATTTGGCACAAATACCCAATACGCCCAAATTTCAATACTGGTTGGGTTAGGAGGGGGTTGATTGTGTCATTTGGGAGTTGTAGTAACTGGGATTTACAGTTCATGTACAATCAAAGAGCATTCTGAAGCCCATCAACAATGGAATTGAACCAAACTTGGTACACAGAACTTCCACGACCAACAGAAAATATTGGACAGGTTTGGTGAGCATTGACCTTCAGTTTTGAAGTTGTAGCTCACCTACATCCAGAGAGCACTGTGGACTCAAACAATGATGGATCTGGACCAAACTTGGCACCAATACTCAATATGCCCAAATGTCAACAGTGGTGGAGTTTGGGAAAAATAGATCTTTGGGAGTTGTAGATTTATAGTTCACCTACAATCAAAAAGCATTCTGAATCCCACCAACTATACAATTGGGCCAAATTTCCCACACAGAACCCCCATGACCAACAGAAAATACTGTGTTTTTTCTAGTGGTCTTTGGTGACCCCTCTGACACCTCCTCACGACCCCCCCCCCCCCGAGGTCCAGACCCACAGGTTGAGAAATGCTGCACTAGACAATACCAACAGGACACATGAAAGCCTTTTGCTTAACTTCTGAATGTTTTTCAAAAGATAACAAGACACACATTTTTCCTATATCTTCCATAGAGCTCTTCTTGTGTTACTATGACCCTTTTTAGTTAATGGTTAACAGGGAAGGCAAACATACAATAAATGGGTTCAAGGTGCCCCTGTTATCCTGATGGTCCACTTCTTACTTAATTTTTCTGCCTGGAATGTTTTATTGAATGATGTTATTCTTCTTTATTTTCTTTACAAGTCTCAGGGGAAATGCTTTAGCAACAGGTCAGGACAAGAGGGATAATATAAAAAATGCACATGGGTTCAGTGGTCAGGAGCGAGCAGTTCAGTTGCAGGCATTATCTCTGCCTCTCGGGCTATGTCTAATGTTTCATTCAAAACCTGAAGCTTCAACTAGTATTTTAGAATCATAGTGCTGGAATAGAAAACAGTGGTATTCCAGTCCAACCCCATTCAGCTTTGCATGATGACACAATCAAGGCACTCCTGACAGATAGACATTCAATCTCTGCTTAAAAACTTCCAGAGAAAGATACTCTGATGGACTCCTAGGCAGCACATTCAATTGCCAAACATCTTTTGCCAACATCAGGAAAATCTTCTTAGTGTTTAGGTGGAATCTCTTTTCCTGTCGTTAGCATTCAAAGCATGCATTTTAACGACAGATTTGTATCTCTTGAGGACAGAACACTTTTGGATTTTAGATCCCCTCACCCTGATTTTGGAACAACTGGATTTACATATATATGTAATTAATGTTGGAGGTGAACCCAAGTGCAAACAAAATTCATTAATGTTTCAGATACACAATTTCTTTTAGTAATTTTGTACATAAAACAACATTTCTGTATACCGAACCATCTGAAAACTAAACTGTCACAATTTCAGGGCCCTTCCAGACAGGCCCACAATGCAGGACCTGTCTCGGGTTTACCTTAGGCATCCAAATGATGCCCCTTTGTAAACCTGAATGAATCCGGAGTAAACTGGAATTTCCCAGTTTATTCTTGTTCAATTAAAAACCTGGAAAGATCCAAACCTTAGTGTCAGGTCCGGATCTTTCCAGGTGCAGGCTTTGTGGGGATTGACTCCTGGGACCACTATTATGGGCTCCCATTTACCCCTAAAAGTTCCCCATGTTGAGACACCTAGAGCTCTGGGTGGAGGGGCTGAACATCCAGCCAGGCCCCTCACATATGTTTTGGATGTAAATGGGGGGCTGGGGCTTGTTGGATGCCTCTGGATGACCCAGAAGGTTATGTTTTCTTGGGTGGTTTCATTCTTCTGTGTTTTCTTTACAAGTGTCAGGGGAAACGCTTTAGCAACAGGTCAGGACAGGAAGGATAACATTAAACATGCACATAGGTTCAGATAACATTAAACATGCACATAGGTTCAGGAGAGACTGGGATTTAAGGAAGGTGTGGAACCACAAACGTAGGAGGAATTCGGATAAAGCAGTGGTTCTCAACCTTCCTAATGCCACGACCCCTTAGTACAGTTCCTCAGACCCCCAACCATAACTTTATTTTTGTTGCTACTTCATAACTGTAATTTTGCTACCTGTTATGAATTGTAATGTAAATATCTGATATGCAGGATGTATTTTCAGTCACTGGACCAAATTTGGCACAAATACCCGATACGCCCAAAATTTGAATACTGGTGGGGTTGGGGGTGATTGATTTTGTCATTTGGTAATGCTGGAGTTGCTGGGATTTATAGTTCACCTTAAATCAAAGAGCCTTCTGAACTCCATCAATGATGGAATTGAATCAAACATGGCACACAGAATTCCCATGACCAAGAGAAAATATTGGGAAGGTCTGGTGGACATTGACCTTGAGTTCTTGGCGTTGTAGTTCACCTATATCCGGACTGTGGACTCAAGCAATGATGGATCTGGATCAAACTTGGCACAAATACTCAATATGCCCAAATGTGAACACTGGTAGAGTTTGGGGAAAATAGACCTTGACATTTGGGAGTTGTAGTTGCTGGGATTTATAGTTCACCTACAATCAAAGAGCATTCTGAACCCCACCAATGATAGAATTGGACCAAACTTCCCACACAGAACCCCCATGACCAACAGAAAATACTATGTTTTCTGATGGTCTTTGGCGACCCCTCTGACACCCCCTCGCGACCCCCACAGGGGTCCCGATCCCCACGTTGAGAAACACGGGGATAAAGAATCCCTGTTTCTCCCAGGATTGAGGCCTGTGTGGAAGGGCCCACAGCTAAGGATATCATGGCATGTTTCTCCTGAAAGTTAACACCAGATCCTTCAACACAATTCTCTGGTATGCTTTGGGACCAGAAGTAATCTAATTAATGACATTTGGCCATATCTGTGGTCTCAGGTAACTGTAACATATCTTCTGTGGATACGGGATTTTTACTGGGCTAACTTTTGCCATCTTGACAACCCTCTGATTGTACTTGGTCACATGGGTCCTGGTTTTCATCCATGAAATGCTGGATAGTATGAGTCTACCATTATTATGGAGCTGCTGAATTGTAATTAGGCTTTTCATTGTGAATGGAAGAATTCAAAATGCCTTGTTTCTGTGAGTAAGGAGGGAGTTGGTGGAAAATATGCTGATGGTTAGGAGGAAAAGTGCTGAGTTTTAGTTCTCTGTGTAATACACCCTCCCCGTGTGTGCAGATTTATAAATTGCAAGGATCTCTCTTCCCACCCCAGGAAGAGAGTGTGAGAGATAGCACGAGTAGGAGAGAAATGAACTACCCACCTGTTTCAGATTTAGAAAATTGTAGGGCGATGGTGGATGAGCAGTAGTGGTTGAATGTGCAAAAAATGATAGCACTCATTAAGGCAAATCTAAATGTATCTCTTGATTTCTTGTGAGGAAGAAGGTGTGGTAGGTGCTTCAGCAATGCTGCCAATCTTAGGGAGAGGTGGGTAAATTAATTCCCTGAGCTGAAACAGCTCCAGACTATTTCACAGGGGATAGTGGAAGACAAGAAGGCACTCCCTCTCATTCAATGTAAAAAACGTAACCAGACTGGAAGTGGCTCTCAGGATAAGGGAACAGCAATTTGGCATCTCGTTTTGGGCAGAAAATGAGAGCTTTGATCCTTCAGATGATAATCCCTCCTCCTTGTGAAGTTTTCTTTCAGTTGCCAATTTTTTTAGTATTGCAGGGGTTGGTGGTAATGGCGAGACTTACAATAACTTGCACCTTCTCTTTTCTGTGTTGGCATTCCCTTGTTACCTTTCATCTACACATTTTCTATGGGTGTGCAATCTTTCTTTCTAGACCAGTGGTTCTCAACCTGTGGGTCCCCAGGTGTTTTGGCCTACAACTCCCAGAAG